GACCGTCACATTATAACGCCCCCACTGCTAAAAGGGGCGAGCACGTTTGGTGTGACGTGGATTCGAACCCGCAACCCTCAGATTACGAGTCCTAACCACCTGGTCATGTCGGTCCTAGCCGTAAACTGCAAAATAAAGCTGTTCATGCTATTGCAGAATCTCTACCATGCTTAAATGATGGGTTGTAAGTTTAGACTTGATGGTAAAAGAGTCAGAGATTATTCATCTAATCAAACCACGTTATTCCACAGATCTTCGATCCAACTTGTATTTTACTGACACCATTTTCTTTATTTGTGTTATTTGAAGTTTCTGAATGGCAGACCTTTCGTGATAACTAATCTTGTGCAATTAATTCCCTTTGATTAGTTTTGACAGAGGCTAATCTTTAGTTCTGTACAAACGTTTGACGCTTTCGTCTCACTACTCGTGTATCACGAACTGGCAACTTAGTTTTTCGACCTCTGTTACTATGTTTTCCAGATTTGTTTTTATTTCTCTATATCCATGCTGATATCACCTTTGATATCGTCCCTCGGGAAATATTCATTATTTTAGGATGTCGTGTAACTTAATCCAGCTAGATGATCAGCTACAGTCATTTTTATAACTTTCCTCAGAAAAACCAATATATTAAATATTCGTATATAGACAAAGTCAGTGATATAAAATAATGTAGTGCACATTGAAATTACCACATGGCTGTTTCTATTATTTTATTCGGTTCCTAACACATTCCATTCGACATTTCCACTCGAGATTCTTCAACACATATTGCCAATATGTGTTGAAGAATCTCGAGTGTAAATGTTTTATTTTTCTTCATTTAAAGAGTGCTTCGTGAGTGAATATTTTATATAAAACTAGTTATCATATTGAACAGCTAATACAATACGTTGTAGGAAAGTTATAGAGCTGTTAAAGTAAGAATATTATTACCTGTAAATTATTTAATCTTCTTAAATGTGTTGTGTTAAATTAATGAAGAAAAAAATCAGTTGATCATTAAGATAATTCGCCACGATATGAATTAAACTAGTAAGTATTTATATCATCTTTAATTATAAGTGTATTGGTATTCATCGTAAGGAACGGAAACTTTCTAAAATACTTTATAGAGGAAACAATTAATTAAAGAATATCACAGTTTGCCAGCAACGAAATTTATGAACTTCACACAAAGGCCAGCAACGAAATTTATGAACTTCACACAAATATCCAGGCCAACAACGAAATTTATGAACTTCACACAAATATCTAGTATCTTATTTAGGAGAAGTAATTGTTTCATTATTTTCAACAAAATCAATCAGGTTTCTCATAGTGTTTTAAGTAATGAGGAACACCATAATATAAAAACTGCAATTCTACTGAGAGGGAAAAAAAACAACTGTATGTGTGAAAACGTGCCTGATACCTCATGTCACATGTACTCTTAAGTCCGTGGATTGCTGCTCGAAGTGACATCTCTAGCCTGTCATTCATAGGATGCTAACACCTGAAGGTGGTAGATCACGTGACATGTAACGTCAGAGTTCCGCCGATTTTAACTTTGAGTTTGCCCCTGGAGAAGAAAGGCCCCCAAATCTCAACTTATCACACACAATACTTACTTAAATGTCTACGTTAGAAATAAGACCATCCACACAAGACATTAAAATTATTTTTACCAAGAATTGGATATCATCGTGGTATTTAAAAAGGGTATTTTATGTATAAATATGCGCTTGTTAATATCTTATGTGAACAAGTGTGATCTTGATTTCGGATCGGTTTGTGATCTTACACAACCAAATGAAGAGACATACTACGGTACGAACTGTTTGTGATCATACACAACCAAATGAAGCAAACTACTACGGTACGAACTGTTTGTGATCTTACACAACCAAATGAAGAGACATACTACGGTACGAACTGTTTGTGATCATACACAACCAAATGAAGAGAAATACTACGGTACGAACTGTTTGTGATCTTACACAACCAAATGAAGAGAAATACTACAGTACGAACTGTTTGTGATCATTACACAACCAAATGAAGAGAAATACTACGGTACGAACTGTTTTGTGATCATACTCAACCAAATGAAGAGAAATACTACGGTACGAACTGTTTGTGATCTTACACAACCAAATGAAGAGAAATACTACGGTACGAACTGTTTGTGATCATACGCAACCAAATGAAGCAAACTACTACGGTACGAACTGTTTGTGATCTTACACAACCAAATGAAGAGAAATACTACGGTACGAACTGTTTGTGATCTTACACAACAAATGACGAGAAATACTACAGTACGAACTGTTTGTGATCATACACAACCAAATGAAGAGAAATACTACGGCACGAACTGTTTGTGATCATACACAACCAAATGAAGAGAAATACTACGGTACGAACTGTTTG